ATAGGTATAGGTATAGGTTTAGGTATAGGTATAGGTATAGGTATAGGTATAGGTATAGGTATAGGTATAGGTATAGGTATAGGTATAGGTATAGGTATAGGTATAGGTATAGGTATAGGTATAGGTATAGGTATAGGTATATGTATAGGTATAGGTATAGGTATAGGTATAGGTATAGGGTATAGGTATAGGTATAGGTATAGGTATAGGTATAGGTATAGGTATAGGTATAGGTATAGGTATAAATACACACATATATCTGCATGGTTCTCTGGCATTTCCGTCCTGCTGGGGAGAATTCGTTTTTCATCCAGTAACAATTTCTAGTAGAGACGGGGCATAAGTCATCACTGCATCTAAGCAATGAAGACTCAGTTTTTGATTTTTATGATTTTTGTGCAGAAGGCTCTATGTTTTATTTCACTAAAAACAAAGGCGAGTTCCTGACTTCCGGACTCCCTCTCTACACTCCACAGGCCCACACCGGGTGGGTTAAAGAAATCAAGAGTTGATAAAGTTCTGTAAGCCAATCGAATGGCGCATAGCCTTTAACTCTTCTTGATTTATTTTCGACATGCCCTGATGGCAATTCTGGTCGCACTTATGGGTTTCGTTGAAAAAGAATCAAATCTACGTTTTTACGTAAACTTCAGCAGTCATTTAACGTACTAAATGTCGAGCCTAAAATTGATAGAAGTAAGAAATTGTTCAATTATTGATATTACGTTAACTATTTTTGTCCTCCGGTCCTATAGACTATGTCCAAGCAAATATATGTGGTCGTTCTGGGACCAATGCCTTAACTGTTATTACGATTCGCCTCTTCGCCTCTGGCCTGGTATAAGTGCATGTTTTGTTTTAACGACGTGTCGAGACCGTCGGAAACTGATTGCTACCCCGACATGTCCATCGAAATATGTTTTATTGCACCCAGAAGTCCGATATATTTCATGATACTGGCCTGAGATGTCATATCGCGAGGAGTCGCAAAATACTTCTAAGGAAACATGTCTTTGTCGTTTACCAGGCCAGTCATAAATACATATATATTTAGATGTCTAAAAAAATTGCCGAACGCAACTTGCGATTTGATTCGCTGAGATTGCTGAATACATTTTAAAAATAGATCCTTATCTGAATTAGATCCTTATCTCAAAAATCACTGACGAGTGACGCGAGCCCTTCACAACTCTGTATCCATGCAACGAGCTTCAAAATGAACACCGTGTGGTAATGGCTGAACCCAAGAGGCGCAGGTAAAATACACATCGAAGCTAAAAGCTCGAATAAATATAATTATAAACGATTACTCTCAAGGCCTCTTCAAGCCCAGGTTTCGAATATTTTTAATGGCATACAGTACAGCCTGTTGGAAAATGGATACATACATATACTCTCAGAGGGCACAGTCATACTGCGGGTTGTTTTCCGGGATATCTGGTGGTGATCGTTATCTTTAGTAGAGCAGAATCTGTGTTACACTCGACCCAAATTGAAAAATTGCCCCCTACTGAATATATATATATTATTTGCAAATTAGTGGACTGAGAAGAAGAATATACCTCCTTGTAGAAGAACATACCCCGCCACTTTGTGATATCGATGAGGCTCGGCATAGTTATCAAATTCTATACACATTAACAGCTGGCAAAATAGATAATAGCACGTATAAGTATCTCATTAATTTGTATATTGCTGATCAGTTATGGACTTTTGTAAATTTCATGCAAACTCACTATATGACTATTTCCAATATGAATGGCACCATGCTGAGACTATGCATTTGTATACTGGCACTTGCCAGTGCATGTGTAAATGCAGCATCTCTGCATAAGCGCGAGGCAACTGACACTATAGATCTGATTGTGCAATTGCGCCCAGAAACTACAATGGACACTTTGAAAAGTCACATGCAGAAGCTCAATGGAATTACTTCCGAAGATAACAGACCCGAGCTCTTTATGATTGGAGATTTTATGGGATACTACATTACAGGTAAGTGCTCGTCTGGTACAACTACAACATAAATTCCTTGGTCGTAGAGCTCAACTACGCGTTCAGATACACGTGCTTGAGCTGAAATCATATATGACTCTCCTAAGTTCCTCTACCTGACGATTGTGATTGAGACTGATGCACCGATTCCGTGTGCGCGCATGTTGCATTCTCATATACTAAAAATTAAAATTTTTAAACATCAGTAATGACACAGACTAAGGTTCAATCTATCTTAGCCATGCCTGAAGTCATGCTTATGGAAGCACCGGTTAAAATGATGACACAACGTAGTCAATGCCAAGAACAGGTACGTAGCACGATTGTAGTGGTTTGCCAGAACTAAAGTACGTGATTGAATGTGCATATTTGTGCATCCCACTTTAGAGACTTTTGTATAAAAAAAGGGAATGTATCTGTGCTACCCCAAAAAAATACATTTAGGTAACTACAGGTACTTATGTATTTTCGGTACATATGCTAACTAATTAGTTCCTTGTTAACAATACTGGATGCGCAGTTCAGAGTAATTGCGCAATCAAATGCAGTTTCGTATAAATACGCAATCGTATACAAAGTCTCACATACAAACATATTCATTATCATGTTCACAGCTTGTGTGGATACATAATAGTCTCGTATATACCTATTAAAGTGTATACATATATGGCCAAATATAAACTTACATAGCAGAATACACGGTCAACTAAAAAAGTGATAGTGAAAACGTTTGTCGGCTACGACTGACACTAATATCCGATAGTAACTGGTTTTAATCTGTGGCTATATATTGCATCACTCTCTCGTGCATGTTGTGCTGTCAGTGTACATGGATATGGCTCTGACATTGTATTGTTCGAAAAACAGTTATACAGCTATTCAGCTATTCAAACACGAGGCTTTATGATTGAGTTGTATTTCGATTTGCGTGTATATAAATCTCTTCGAAATTGTCCTTGCTGTGAGATTCAATGTAATCAGTATTACTTCTATTGAATCGGTACTACAATACGTAGCTATATCAACACAAGTAACTATCTGATTAGAATCGTCGGTGTAGATAATACACGAAATATATACATGTAGTTGTAGACTGCCTTCTTATGTAAAACTGTCACAAATCTATAATCTTTTACCATTATGAAGTGCGTTTCTTGCGATGAAATAAGTCAATGTGTACGTACCTCTGTGATAGTTAGCTACCCGGCTCATTCTCCGGTTTTCTCCTTGTACACTTAGGATCTACCTACCGATGGCGAAGGCCAGCAACCATTTTTCAACTTGGAGGCTGTAAGCAAACGATCCGAAAGGGAGTTCAACAACAGCTACCGTTTTCCAGTCGCTGATGATGGTGACACTGGAGTTGATTTGTATATCATCGACACAGGAATTGATATTACTCACTCGGACTTCGAAAATAGGGCGGTATTCGGGTTTGATGCCACCGACGAACCAGAGATCGTGAATGGGCACGGAACAAATGTAGCAGGGTTTGCCATGGCCGCGTAAGTACCTTGTTCCGGTAGAAAAGAATGAAATATTTAATGAAAATAGCGTTGCATTCAATATAGCATTCTATACCTCAGTGCTACGTTCAGCCAAAATGGTCATATCACCACTCGTCATACGTTTTCTCACCACTCATCAAACCTATTTTACTTTATCATTTTAATCACTATTCCACTCTTTTCCATGCCACAAACGCGCTGGGAAGTTCACGCGTACGTACATACTTACGCAGCCGATTGCAATCCTTACAGCATGTTCGGAACATCCAAGCAAAGCAATGCTATCGCTGTTAAAGCTCTAGCCGGAGAGGATGGAGTTGGAAACACAGCAATAACCATTCGAGCTCTGCAATACGTGGCGGGTGCAAGGGATACAAGTAGACAGACGGTCATCAACATGAGCCTGGGCGGTGGTCGTAGTGAAACGCTGAACGTATGTGCGTGTTCATAGGCGAACATGTGTGAGACACGTGAGACACGTGTGTACTGTCTGCTATGTGTGTCTATAGACACATGATTATGTAGAAGACTCGTGTGCGTGTGTTTGCTTTCTTAGCGAAGCGATAAAATACTACTTCAGCTTCCGCTAGTAACACTTCACCCGCACACCACACATCTTCCCTCAGAACGCTGTTAACGCTGCTGTGAGAGCTGGCATGCATATAGTAGTAGCCGCTGGCAATTCCAATGAAGACGCCTGCGAAACATCGCCTGCAAGTGCTGAGCTAGCCATCACCGTGGGTGCCTCAAATGCGAACTATCAGCGCGCAGGCTTCAGTAACTTTGGAGAGTGTGTTGACTTGTTCGCCCCTGGACAGAGCATTTTCTCCACCGCGCCCGACGAACGAGTCATTCGTGTAAGTGTGAATGATTGTACATACTTAAACTTGAGAGAACGAAGTGTGATTGAAGTTTCGAATTTCCGAGTTTTTGAGGTTTGCAAAATAACTTAGTATATGGATACAAGAGTATGCCAAGTGTAAATTGGCAAAGTGTCAACTACCGCAAACACGCACTAAGTGTGGAATCTTATTTCTATCTCTAACAGGGTTCAGGAACTTCATATTCATCACCCATGGTCGCCGGTCTGTTAGTCAACCTACTGTCATCCTTCCCAGATATGACCCCCGCAGAGGCACAGCAGCGTCTGATTGACGACGCGACAGTCGGCGCACTAAGCGAGCCCCTCCCAGCAGGTACTCCAAACCGTTTGGTTTTCCAAAACTGCGACGCCCTCGTCGTTGATGCGGTATGATTCATGGGAGATATTTGCCTTAAAGATATGCTTTTGTAATTGTTTTACTGGCTTCAGTTACAGATATGGATATAGAAACAGTAGATATTGTACACTAGTGATGTGGACATAGCAACTATACACACCACCAGCTCAAGTACCGTACTAGATGATGCTGATATCGACAATCCATACTTATCGTCCTATTCAACTGCTGCTATAATTCCTCAGGCAACCCCAGCACCCACTGCAAGCAATTCGCCCGCCGCTTCACCCAAAGCGACACGGCCGCCAGCGGCTTCACCCAGCAACTCACCAGCTACTACACCCAGCAACTCACCAGCGGCTACACCCAGCTACTCACCAGCGGCTACGCCCAGCAACTCACCAGCTGCTACGCCCAGCAACTTACCAACTGCAACACCCAGCAACTCACCAGCTGCTACGCCCAGCAACTCACCAGCTGCTACGCCCAGCAACTCACCAGCTGCTACGCCCAGCAACTCACCAGCTGCTACGCCCAGCAACTCACCACCGTGCAACTCACATGCCGCTACACCCAGCAATCCACCAGCTGCTACACCCAGCAACCCACCAGCTGCTACACCCAGCAACTCACCAGCTGCTACACCCAGCAACTCACCAGCGGCTACACCTAGCAACTCACCAGCTGCTACGCCCAGCAACTCACCAGCTGCTACGCCCAGCAACTCACCAGCGGCTACACCCAGCAACTCACCAGCTGCTATACCTTCACCGACCGGCGAGCCCTCGCTGTCACCTGCACCTTCTCTTACACCCGAAGCTACTATGACGACCACAACGACGGAGGATATGACTGAAACCAACATAGAAACCGGTACGCCAGTCCCCACTCCGTGTCATAGTGCAATCGCAAGTCCTAGTCCTAATTTTATTGTCACTGCAATACCCAGTACTAGTCCAAGTTGTAGTCCAGCGCCGATTGAGTTCCCGGGAGAAGATGGCGATGGTTTCCCTGGAGAGGATGACAGTGACTTCCCAGGGGACAAGGACAGCGGAGATGGTAGTGATGATTTCCCTGGAGACAATGAAGATGGTTCCCCTGGGGAAGAAGACAGTGATGTCCCAGGGCACGACGACGGTGATTCGGAGGACAACGACAATGATGTCCCAGGACACGACGACGGTGATTCAGGCGGCGATGACAATGATGTCCCAGGGCACGACGACGGTGATTCAGAGGACGACGACAATGATGTCCCAGGGCACGACGACGGGGATTCAGGCGACGACGACAATGATGTCCCAGGGCACGACGACGGTGATTCAGGGGA